CTGAACGACAGCTTTGGGTCGGATTTGGCTGTCGATGATATTTCATTCTCGTATTTCCAGTGGGCCTCCCTCCTTATCCATGCATATTCATTTCGGGCTCTTCGGCTAATCTCTGTTTTCCTGGGCCCTTTGTCTTCTGTTTTTTTTTTCAGTTCTCTAATGCACTTAGTTTTTGGCCTCTCTACACCTTCGGGTGAACCAAGGGCTGGTTTTCGTCTTCCCATTGTATCTGTTGCCCTTCGGTACGAATCTCTCCTTTCCTTCCTTACATTTTGTGGTCACATATTCCATCATTTCATTTACTGTTTCTCCCACCAGTTCTCTTTCCCACTGTACCTCATGCAGAATATTCCTCATGCCTGTGTAATCACCTCTTTTGTAGTTTGGTTTCTTCCATCCTACTCGTGCTGCTTCACTCTCCACTTTTAACTCTACAATGTATTCGAAGCTCAGGACATCATCATCACTAGCTCCTACGGGCATTTCATATGTGATGTCCTCAGTGTCTGAACTACTGAAGGTAAATATGATGTACAGCTTTGCTGGTTCATCCTCTCCTCTCTCTTTGATAGTGTCCCTAACATCTTGATGCATGAGGTCTTTGAGTATCACTTCTATCATCACAGCTCTCCATGTTTCTGGTCCTCTATGTGGCTCCAGGTTTTTCCAGTCAGTCTCATTGTAACTTTGCCTTACCATGTGGGTCCTTCTGGCCACCTCAGCTAGTGTGTCCACCATTGCGCTGTTGCTCTCATCATATTCTTGTCTTGGCCTCCTGCTATTCTGTGGTGGGTTGAACATAACTGCAATCACCGCCTTGGGACGTCCAGTCTGAAATATTTTTACTATGTAGTCCCTTCTCTTCTGTCAATTCATTCCATTTCCTCAAATCTCCACTGGAATTAGATGAGCAGTGCAAATTCTCCGTCCCCTTTGTTCCCTCTGTCTTTCCTCAGGATCTGATATCTGGATAGAAAGACCTCATCTGCAATCATCCTCGTGAGCTTTGTTTCAGTGAGAGCTATGATGTCTGGGGATTCCTCCATGACTCCTTTATGCTACTTCTCACATTTATTAGTTATTCTGTCTGCACTGGTGTACCATATCTTCAGCTTCTTTTCCAGTACTGTGGGCTGGGGAAAGGGGTTGGGCAGGGCAAGACCTGGAGAGATAGTATGGGGGCTGCCAGAAGGTAGGGTTTGCGGTGGGGTAGGGGCTGAGGGTACAGTGTGTGCATTGTTTTGAGTTAATTTGCTTTGCTGCAGTGGGGTTGTTGGGGTTGAGGGTCTTCTGTGGGTGGTTCTGAGGGAGGCTGTATTTGCTTTGCTGCAGTGGGGTTGTTGGGGTTGAGGGTCTTCTGTGGGTGGTTCTGAGGGAGGCTGTATTTGCTTTTCCTCCTGGGTCTGGGTTCCCCTCTCTATCTCCCTCCCTGACTCTCTCCTGCCCCTTGCATCTTTGTATCCTCTCAGTTTCTGTCTTCTTGTATTCTGTCGTGGTTGAGGTACGGCCACTGGTAATTTGATGAGCCCATTAGTTGTGCTCTCTTCTGCAGGCTCCTGTTCCGCGCTGTTTCTAACTTAAAAGTAAATTTGACTGGACGGTTTCTTCCTCTTGAGAACTCCCTCTATTCTCTAAAAATTTGTCAGCTGAGTCATGTCTTCCTCTCCCATTTTTCTCATGATATTTTCAATCCCTTCTTCCTCCGCCTGTTGTCTTTGTAAGTTGCCCATTCGCCCTGTGTGTGTACTCACCTATTTGTGATTGCAGGGGTCGATTCATAGCTCCTGGCCCCGCTTCTTCACTGATGGCTACTAGGTCCTCTCACTGCCCATGAGCTTTATCAAACCTCGTCTTAAAACTATGTATGGTTCCTGCCTCTACTACGTCACTTTCTAGGCTATTCCACTTCCTGACAACTCTGTGACTGAAGAAATACTTCCTAACATCTCTTTGACTTGTAGGAGTCTTCAACTTCCAATTGTGACCCCTTGTTTCTGTGTCCCATCTCTGGAACATCCCGTCTTTGTCGACCTTGTCAATTCCTCGCAGTATTTTATATGTCGTTATCATGTCTCTCCTGACCCTCCTGTCCTCCAGTGTCGTCAGGCCGATTTCCCTTAAACTTTCTTCGTAGGACAATCCCCTTAGCTCTGGGACTTGTCTTGTTGCAAAACTTTGCACTTTCTCTAATTTCTTAACGTGCTTGACCAGGTGTGGATTCTAAACTGGTGCTGCATATTCCAATATGGGCCTGACGTATATGGTGTACAGAGTCTTAAAGGATTCCTTACTGAGGTATCGGAACACTATTCTTAGGTTTGCCAGACGCCCGTATGCTGTGGAAGTTGTCTGATTGATGTGCACCTCAGGAGACGTGCTCGGTATTATACTCACCCCAAGATGTTTTTCGTTGAGTGAGGTTCCCAGTCTTTGGCCACCTAGACTATACTCTTGTCTGCGGCGTTCTTTGCCATTTCTCGATCTTCATGACTTTGCACTTGGCGGGATTAAATTCAAGGAGCCAGTTGCAGGACCAGGCTTGTAGCCTGTCCAAGTCTCTCTGTAGTCCTGCCTGATCCTCGACAAATTTAATTCTCATTAACTTCGCATCGTCTGCAAACAGGGACACTTCTGAGTCTATCCCTTCCGTTATGTCATTCACATACACCAAAAATAGCACAGGTCCTAGCACTGACCCCTGTGGAACCCCGCTCGTCACAGGCACCCACTCTGACACTTGTCACATACCATGACTCGTTGTTGCCTCCTTGTCAGATATTTAATGATTCATTGCAGAGCCTTTCCTTTTATGCATGCCTGATCCTCTAGCTTTTGCATTAACCTCTTGTGAGGAACTGTGTCAAAGGCCTTCTGTCAGTCCAAGAAAATGCAGGCTATCCACCCCACTCTCTCTGTTACCTTGTCATAAAACTCCAGTAGGTTTATGACAAAGGATTTTCCTTCCCTAAAACCGTGCTGATTGTCGTTTATAAGCGACAACCTCCTGATCTCCATGACTTTGCATACTCTTCGTGTCAGTAACACAGGTCTGTAGTTTAATGACTCTTGTCTGTCTTTAAAATTGGGGCTACATTTTCCATCTTCCATGCCTCAGGTAGTTGCCCAGTTTCAATGGATGTGTTGAAGATTTTTGTTAGTGGCACACACAACATCTCTGTTCCCTCTCTAAGGACCCACAGAGAGGTGTTATCTTGTCCCACCGCCTTTGAGGTATGAAGTTCACATAGCTTCTTCACCACCACCTCGGTTGTTTATTTCATCCAGCACTTGTTGGTGTACCTCCCTATTCTGAATTCCTGAGTGTGTGTGTGTGTGTGTGTGTACTCGCCTAATTTTACTCAGTTGTGATTGCAGGGGTCGAGACATAGCTGCTGGCCCCGGCTCTTCCTGCTAAATGAGCTTTATCATATCTCTTCTTAAAGCTGTGTATGGATCCTGCCTCCACTACATCACTCTTCAGACTGTTCTACTTCCTCGTAACTCTATGACTAAAGAAGTACTTCCTAACATCCCTGTGACTCATCCGAGTTTTCAGCTTCCAAATGTGACCCCTTGTTGCTCTGTCACATCTCTGAAACATTCTGTTCCTATTCATATTGTCAGTTCCTCTCAGTATTTTTTATGTTATCATGTGTCCCTATCCCTTTTGTCCTACAGTGATGTCAGATTGACTTCCCTTAACCTTTCCTCGTATTAGAAACCCGTCAGGTCCGGGACTAGTCTTGGTGCAAACCTTTGCATTTTCTCTAATTTCTTGATGTGTTTGACCAAGTGTGGGCTCCATACTAATACTGCATACTCCAATATGGGCCTGACGTATACGGTGTATAGTGTCGTGAACGGCTCCTCACTTAAATGTCGAAACTCTGTTCTCAGGTTTGCCAGGCGCCTGTACGCTGCAGCAGTTATTTGGTTGATGTGCGACTCAGGAGATGCGTTCGGTATGATGCTCACCCCAACATCCTTTTCCTTGAGTTTTGCAGCCTGTAACTCTTAGGCTGTACTCCATCTGCAGTATCGTTTGTCGTTCCCCAGCTTCATAACTTTGCCATTGCTGAGATTAAACTCCAGGAGCCATTTGTCAGACCAAGCTCGCAGCCTGTCCAGATTTCCTTGTAGACTTTCCTGATCCTCGTGCGCTTGTATTCTCTAAATTAGTCTCGCATCGTCTACAAACAGGGACACCTCTGACTCTATCCCTTCCGTCATGTTATTCACATATAAAAGAAACAACGCCAGACCTAGGACTGACCCTAGTGGAACCCCACTCGATACATGCACGCACTCTGACACCTCGCCTCGTATTGGGACACGTTGTTTCCTTCCTGTCAGTTATTCCCTGATCCATTGCAGTGTGTGTGTGTGTGTGTGTGTGTGTGTGTGTGTGTGTGTGTGTGTGTGTGTGTGTGTAGCAAAAAAAATTGACGAAAACAATGATGTCATTAATTCATATCATTATACTATGATTCGGGGAATCTTAACCAAAAAATTTATGTTTAACAAATATCAACATATATGATTGTTTTAAGCAATAATTATTCAAATTTAATTTTTCATATACTTTCGTGCGATGCCTCTCAATAATAGGTTGGTATGTCTCCTAATAAACAGTATTTCCATTGAAGCAGACCTCGGAAACGAAGTCCAATATTTGACAAATGCAACAAACACAGGTACATGGTTACGGGAGTGGTGAACAACGTTCGTAAATTCCTACATTGGTTTTTAACTCTTTACATTTTCTTATTAACTAGAAAGGTGATGTATTTGCATTGACTGTATGGAGTTGATTTTAGCTGAATGAAAACTTTAGAAGTGACTTTTCTGCCTGAATCTAGTTGAAAAGTGTCAACTTTTTTTTCCTTCTATCATGTATACAGATGTCTTTATAAAATTTAGTTCATAAATTAATTTATATAATGGAAAAATTAAACGTTTTTTCTTAGAAGTAAAAATTATTTTTGTTACTAATGACTTACTTGCTACTTTGACAGAAAAGGCACAGGGCTTCTGCTGGATGCCCATCTGATTGATGGCCCAGCAGGAGAGGGCTCGGTCCTCTTGCTCATGCTTGGGATAAACATGGAGGTAGGCCGTAGCCTGGTCCAGGTAGTGGATGACTGCAGTGGTGCGCAGCACCTCCACACTGCTGTTCCACTGCCACTGTATGGCAGTGACTGGAGGAAACGAGGAGACTGTGCACGTCACCTTGATGGGTCGGTCGTATATAAAGTAGGTGGTGGGAGAGGTGCTACACTCCGGCGCATCTATAGAGAAGGTATAACGCTGTGTTAGTTTAACGTGTGAGTGATGTTAGTCTGGTACATGTGTTCAGAAAATATATTAAAATTCGAGAATAACATGTTAAGGAAGTGTGTTACTCTGACCCTTCTGTAGAGTTATTATTTCATGTGAGTATAATATATGTAGATAGCGTTAAAAAGCTCTGAAGGGGACATAGTCATTTAGTATAAACTGATGATGAAGTGTGACTTGGAGATACAACCATCAGCATCACGACGGAACAGAATCAGCCTAGCAAACCGACTTCATCGTCCATCACCTACTGTTAGACAGACGTCACACGCAAGACCCCGCAAACTTAACGCCACCAGCGATCAGGTCTCCCGCTTCCTGTCTTCTCTGCATATGCTGTAGAACTGACAACCTTATATAGACAGTTAATAGTGGAAACTGGATATTTTCCACCTAGACAGCCGTACATAGTCTTTCCCCTACTCCGGATACTCAATAGAAATGTTCCTACAGTCATGGCAGGGAATTTTTATGCACATCACTCCACTCTCTTTAGTTGTAGCGATTTAGCGCTTCTTTTTATGATAATCTTCAGCTGCGGCGCCACCCAACCATCAGGTAATCATAAGGGAAAGCAGCTCTTCAATCTAATGGCAGCAAGAAATCTATTGTTTCAAGGTCCATACCGGGTATCCACTCCACCAAAACCCATCCTAAAAAAAATCCTAGGATTTGATCCCTTCAGGGACTACCTGTTGTGTTTGAGAACCAGCCCTCAACTGCAATAAACGAGGAAGTCAGCTCCCTCTACGAAAGGATCTTGAATGCCACCCGTGCATGCTGCCAATTGACATCATCAAAGATATACCAGCAGTACAAACCAACCAGGGAAATTAAAGATAACATGAAAAATCACCAAACGGAGTGTAGGAGGCACTACCACATTTGTTATCCTGCAAGGGATGAGGAGGGAGTTAATCAGCCTAATAACCCAGCACAAAAGCAAGTTATAGAAATGTCTTGTTCTCCCAGCTAATCAATACAAACACCAGCCCGAACAGTTCTGGAGTAAAATTCGCCAGATCTTGGGGGCCAAGTCCATTCCTACTCAATACTTCACCGACGAAGACGATAAGGAAGTCTTGTCAACCTGGATGACCCGCAATTTGATGGAAGTGTAGTAGAAAATTCTCTCAGGCAATGATAGAAAATTCAACAACGGCCACTACCAGTGGGTCAACCAATGGTGTGATGACAACCGGGCAGACATCCAACCATGACACATCTCCCCTCGAAGATGAACACCCCCCTGACTAGGTCAATTACCCTAAGAGAGATGTGCCAGGTCATAGGCAGAATCACAAATAAATCGCCTGGCCCCTCAGGCATAACAGTAAAGCAAATAAGGTACCTACCCCGAAACTTCAAGATGTCTCTGGTAAATATCTATATGCCACGCTGGCCTCAGGACACTCCCCCGTGACACTTAAAACAGCAAGGATGATATTGTAAAACCCAACAGCGACAAGCATAAACCGGCGAATTTCAGACTTATCTCCTTACTTGAAGTCACTGGCAAAGTCTTTGAAAAAAAAAAAAACATTTCTAATAGGCTGAACTATTTCATGGAGTTCAGTTACCTGTTCATTGAAAAACAGTTTGGTTTTAGGATCTACAGAGGAGCCTAACACTCCATGAATATCATGTTCGATGTCCTGGACAAACAAGGCAATCTTGCCCTGACTGTAACTTGGGATGTACACAGAGCTTTGGATAGCCTTAGGTACGACGGCCTCGTATTCAAATTTGCTGACCTTCCCAGACCACAACTGGACCTTTCTCAGACTTGTATATATAACTTCTGAACAGGTAGAAGCATCATCCCCACCTTCACCTACAAAACAGCAGAGCAGTTCACACCAACAGCCGGAGTGCCATAGGGGTCGTGCCTGAGCTCTTACGCTTCAACATATACGTAAATGAAATCCCCCAACCTGAATTCAGTGACACCATTATTACTCACTTTGCTGAAGATGTTATCCATGTAGTTTCATCCACTTCTGAAAGGGTAATAGAAAAAAATGAATACGGAATTGTAAATAACAGCCAGCTGGGAGAAAAAATGGAGAATCACGCCCGATCCTGACATGGTCCTCATCAGCACTAACTGATATTATGCCATAATTGAAAACAATGGGGTATCTCCATCAGAGGTACACCTATCACTATCAAAAACCCGAATAAGATCCTGGTCTACAAGATCTACAGATTACACATCACACATCACCAAAAGTCCGCCTCCGTTAACTATACAGGATTAATCAGGACCCCTCTCATATCAATAACACCTATATAAGATAAGACCTATGCTTGAATATCCTTGTGTGCCATGTCACTAGCAACAAAAACCAACATGTTACAGCTGCAAAGAGTCCAGAACAAAGGACTCCGCTTTACCACAGGCACTAGACTGACTGAAGGACAGAAACAGAACGAAAAGTCAGTATATGAACAGGTGATCGATGCAATAGATGTTAGGCTGAACAAACTAGAGACAAATTCTTCTCATCTATAGAAAAGCCTTAATCAGTAGCTCAGTCATTAATTCAAATATTGAGTAAACAGCAGTCGAAGCTGACAATGTCTGTCGGTTCACTTAATTTTTTTTTTTTGTGGCTGGAATTCTTGGATGAATTTCGTTCTCATATAATGATCGCATAATTGTTTGGGTCCGACACTTCAAGCTGCAGACGATCTTTTATAGTGACTGCATTGGTAAATGGGTGACACTGGGGGTCGTTTAGCAATCTTTGGTTGTCAGCGGTATTAAGGTTCCTTGCCGAACCTTGTCTGGACCAGTCCTCCTCCTCACTCTTAAACCAGCCCTATACAGTTACTCTAGAAAGTTCAAGTTCTGTTGCAATTACCAGCATGAAGACGCCACTTTCACTCAATGTAATTCTATCCTGCTAAGCAATATTTTCTTGCAGCGTTCCATTGTTAGTCTTAGTTGATTGTGATCCATAGTTCCCCGCCCAAAACCATTATAAAAACTTTCTTCCACTAAAGGTGGAACAGAATTGATAGCACATGCAGGTCTCCTTTGATAAATTAGACACATGTGCAACTCTTGGGTATCTTTATTGAGGAAATGTTTCGCCACACAGTGGCTTCATCAATCCAAGATTGATGGACTGACCACATCGACTCAAGGTTGAGGGACTGATTACCTCATTCTCCTGTTCTTCAAGATTCTCCTTTGTATGGACTGATGAAGCCACTGTGTGGCGAAACGTTTCCTCAATAAAGATACCCAAGAGTTGCACATGTGTCTAATTTATCAACATGTCGGTTCTCTGAACCATTCATCTACAGGTCTCCTTTAATGTGTTCACCAAGGTTTTATTTTTCATTAAGGAAATTATCATTATCTTAGGAGTCCAGTAGACCTTCAGCAGTGCTCCTCCAGTTTCGTGTTAGAATTTGTTTTTGTTGGCATTAATATGTATTGCAATGTTGGCTGACACCTCACGAAGTAGTTTCTCTCATACATTACGACCTGCATAACGAGAGCCACAAAGTTTTGCAATTGCCCTATGTTTTAAAATTATATTCAGATATAATGTAGGAATGAATTGGTTCAGCATCTGAGTTGTGTGTGTGTGAAAGAGAGAGATAATGTACTGGTGCAGCAACTGGGTTATCTCGGTTGTCCGACTTAACCAACGCTTGCACCATACTCCGTAAAAGGAATAACCATGTCAACGCTTGCACCATACTCCGTAAAAGGAATAACCATGTCATGAACTTCGAAAATGCCATGCTTGGCATCAAGGAATCAGATATCTATCGCAAGCCCTCTCAACAGCTCTCATCGCTACTACCAACACCATCGCTCAATACTCAGGCAGTTTTATGATTGCGAAATACTTGCCAAAGAAGTCCAACTTCAACAGAAAACGAGCATCATGTAGATGCAGTCTAGACGATGGAATCACAACAACTAAGCTCACCCACTATATACTTCTATTTTCTTTACTATACTGAAACACTGGTTAGAGAAACATTAATAAATGTCTTAGTTATTGTTGAGTGTTTTTTTACATGCCTGTCGGTGTTAATCACCATTTGACATACAAAGTTTCGAGAACGCTCATCGTTCGGATGTATCGCCATTGTTTAGACATTTTCCATCAACTGGACTCCTGAAAAATTTTGCTAGAATTGCTGGCTGCAACTCACGGGTGCAAACAGGCAACACCGTTTGCTTTTCAATAGTGTGTATGTCCAGTTCGTTGACGTTGCCATTTCTAATCACCTGGAAACGATGTTCTTCGAACTGTGCATAAATCCTAGTACCTCTGTACTAGTATGTGCAATGTACAGACCTAAATGGCAACAAGCAGACCCCATCAACTTTCTAATGGAAAAATGTGAACTCCCTACTGCTTCAACACAAATGTCAACATATTACAGTTATTGGTGACATCAGCCTGACGAACTCCTTGAAGTATTTTTCACTGAAAACTTTGATGAACTTCCCTACTCACATCTCTGGCTCGTCCCTTGACCTAGTGGTGAAAGATATCTGATGGCGCTGTCACTTGCAAGCTCCTTGGCTGTGTTGGATCGCCTGTTCACAAAGCTGTCTTTACGATACTGAAGGTTCCAAGAGAAAGAGATGAAGAATCACTCAACCTAGTTGTGGAAAAGAGTAAACCGGCTATGAAAAACCACGTAGTAAATCTTGCAAACAAAGCGGCAAGAAAGCAGCACCTCGACATATCTCGCACCTGCTTGCTAATAGAGGCTGCAAGGCTCTGAACGAGTTACAAGTGCACTCACGCCTTGAACATGCTTCACTTTCATGCACTGCCTGCATCCCATCTTATCTACGACAAACCGTACCATGGGTGGGGCTTGAACTCGTGGCTAGTGAGTCGTAAAATCCACAGACACGTTAGCAACTGGCTACAGCAAGATTCATCCAACTAGGTATATTTATATACCA